TGAGGTGCTCACCTCAAAGTTGTTGGCTGGGACCTGAGGGTGTTGAATGGGGGACCTCATGTCCGCAGCCCTAGCGGTCCAGTAGGATCCCATGGTCTGCTCCCCGGGGATCACATTGTTGTTCTGCGGATCACCCATCTCTCCTTCTTCTTCTTCTCCGATCTGTAGCTGTGACAGCGCCTTCTCCGCAGCCAGTCGCGCCTTTAGAACCCGCTTGGAGTTCCTGCAGGTTCGTTCAAGCTCCTGGTCAAGTGGTAGTAGATCTCCCGACTGGCTACGGGTCATGCACTACCTGCACACAGTCAGCAGAAACAACCCGTGAAGGCACACAGGTGGAAAAGAAAAATGCAATAAAGAAAAAGCTAGAGTAACAAATTATCACGTTTCCCCAATAACCTAGAGGGTCCCCGGCAACGGCGCCAAAAACTTGAGTCGCTAAAACACAACACCTAACAATGGCCAAGTGTAACCAATGAAAGGGACTGCAGTAACAGGCAAGTTTAATTATCAACCCGGGGTCTAGATCTACTGCTTACTCCGTGATTCTCTATTATCTAGCAAACTAAGTCGAGTGATTGTTGTGAAAAGTAAAAGCAACAAGAAAGCAGTAATTTGTTCGGGTTTCTAAAGCAGGTAAGAGTCACTCGGGATTGAGTCCCCCTAGCCCCTTAGTTAGGTTCAATTGCAATTCCCTGGGTTGATTTACTGTTGATTAGACTGCGGAAGATCCGACAGTAGCTTGGAATCTCTTAAGCTGACCAAGCCCTCTCAGTCTAACTACCCGGCAGACGACTAGTCTTCACCGGGATAGAAAGCTGAGGCTATGAACACAGAACTCCACTACTGGCGCCAAGAACACCAGTACAAAGCAGTAAACTGGCTAACTCTCGTATAGCCAATCTCCTACTAACGAATGAAGAGGCTCTAACAAACCTAATCAGATTCTATCTATCTCAGGTTGCAGCAGAAATTGAGAAAAGCTGATCAGACTCAAATCAATTCATTAAACATGCGTCATTCGATTAAAATCAAACAGTAATATCATCCCAAGTCATTACAATCAAATCCCTAACACAAGGAACTAGGGTTCTTCATACCCAAGTGAGAGAAGGGTTCTACTCCATAGAGAGAGAAGAGAAAACAAGAATCGGATTAGTCATACTCATAACGATGAGGATAATCTGCTCCGGGACGATGATTTCCACTCCTATGACGATCTCCAAGCTCGATTCGATGAAATCCAGCTCTAAGACAGCTTCTAGGATGTGTTCTTCGCACTTTCTCTCTCTAGGGCTCTGTTTTTGCTCTCAAAAAACGATTCTTCTACTTTTGGCTCGAATTAGGCTTTAAAACCGGTTTTCCCCGAGTTGCACGGCCAGGTGCACGGCCGTGCACAACACCATTCTGGCCGTGCACCATGAAACGCGCCGTTTCACTTAGTTGTGTCTTCGTCCATTGCATGGCCTCGGCGTGAGGCGCACGGCCAAATGGCTCAAGTGCACGGCCGTGCAGCCTCCTGGTCTGCCCGTGCACTCCCCAAAAAGCTCGCCCTTCGTCCGTTCTTCGTCCAATCGACCCCAGACTCGCTCCTAAGCCTTCATTCACGTACTAGGACCTGAAATAACACAAACAAGCACAACCTAGCGTGAAATCGGCCTAAAACACGAGAATCAACACCTCAAACGGTGTAAGTATGAGGGTAAAAACATGTGTAAATGATGGTCTATCATAGATCGTAGTCGTAGTTGCGGAGCTCTCCAGAGGAACCTCCATAGGAGTAGAGGTAACGTAACTTAGAACACTCCTGTTTCGATTTTCTGGTTATTCGCCGAACACCCTCGTTCGAACGTAGTTTGGAGAGGTGGTGAACCGAATAACGGTTGTTTGATTATAAGTCAAAGGGGCATCGATCAAATCAACATCGCCTACGCCGGCGGTGGATATTTGACGGTCGTCTTTGTTTCTTTTCGATCGATTAAATCAACGACGTCGACATTCGGTGGCGGATATTTGACGGTTGTGATTGACGTGGTATTTTGTGTTTACTTGAAAACAGTGCGTATTGAACACTCGAGTTTCACAAAACGAAACAAATTGGCACACCTGGTGGGACACGTGTGTTCGAATGGCTCCACGACGGAGGAATCACGAGGGCGATCTTCCACCAACTTCAGTGGAGGAAGAGCCAATGGTCAATGTAGAGACTGACCAGAGTGGCGGTTCAAACGGCGGTTCGAGCAACGACGCCGGAGGGGAAGTGCTAGCAGTGGCGCAAACTGCCGACCAGGGTGAATTAAAACCTCCAGAAAGGCCCCAATCCAACCCACAAACACCCTAACTGTCACCAAACACAAAGCGCACCACCAAAATATAGAACAAAACAACAGAACTAATAAACAACACCACAAACGACTCATGAGAAACCAGAAACCCTAAAATAATCAAAGCACACCACAAAAATGAAGAAACATCCAACAAAACCTAACCAGAACTCACAACTATGAAATTTCCTCGTCTCCTTCAACAAATTTAGACTGCATGCGTCAAAACATCGCAGAAAACTGGAAAACGAAAGTAATAGAGGGCAAACATGAAAACGAAGGTTGTAAATTCAATAGTAGAAGCAAGCAATGACAATGCTAACGAAAACGAAAACGGCGACGCCAAACTAACACCATACAAGTGGAACTCCGGCGACGCCAAACGACAACGGCGACTTCGCAGACCAAAACTGACGACGGAGGAGAAGACAGTTCCAGTTTATCGGAGGAAATCACCGGCATACCTCGAAATTCACTTCGGCGACGAAGGAACAGAATCGCGCGAAGGAAATCCACAAGCCGCTGACGAAATCGCTCGATGCAGATGGAAATTTGGTGGAGAGAACAGGGAGAGAGCAACCGAAGGAGACGTCCCGTCGGAGAGCAGTTCGTGAGCAGTTCGTGAGCAGAGGGGAAAGGGGAAAGCGAAAAACTGAAATTCTCAACGCGCGCTTCAATGAATTTTATTATTAATTTTGAATTTCAAAATTAATGCCAGGTAAAAGAAAACAATTATTTAATTATTGTGCAGTTACCCTTATACCCCTGTTGTTATAATAACAACACCTTAGGTGTTGTTATGCTATCCGGAGCCGGTCCGATCACTTTAGTCCGGCTTAACCCGGATATATGAAAAAGTGATTATATTGTTCATGCATTTATAATTGATATAAAATCTTATTTAACATATGAGGAATAACATATAATATTACACTAATATAACCTGCCAGGGAAGGATCTACATTGAACTTAGGGTGGGCCCCGACCCTTAAGATCTTAAGGATATTTTGTGCAAACTTTATAAGTATTACTTGTTCTGTAAATTCTGTCACGTAATAGCTATATGGTCTAATGAAACCAAACTTGACTTGTGTCTTCAAGCACAATATTTCAGTCCACATGACCTTACATATAATATCTATTTTGCTTACCAACTTTTTATACTTTATTAATTTAATCCCCTACAATTTCCCCAAACTAAATAGTAACTCCCTATTTATTGGAGAGATTACAAATAAAAGACCACCTCTTTTATTTAGTTTAATTAATTCTAAGTCTCAATTTCTATTACCGTTCCCAAAACTAAATGGAAAGAGTGATAGCCAAAAGTTTATTTTTAGATGCTATTTTGAGTGATTTCAATAATCTCAAAGAACGTCATGTACTTCTAAAATAATTATAATATTTTATTTAATTATTTTCGGCCCCGGTCTAGAAATCCTAGCTCCGCCCCTATAACCCGACAAATTTAACATATAATGAAAACTCACACATTTATAGAACATCAATATTTAAATGTTCAACTTAGAATTCTAAAGATTGAATTAGCAGAAAAGAAAAATTAGAAAATAGACTCATTTCACAAACTACAGGAGGAAAGAACGATACAATTTGACTTCCAACCCGATGGTATCTTGCTGCGACTGACCCAACGAGTATGTGCCACCCATTTTTGTCGTCCTGTCCGGATCAAAGTTGGTCAACTGATGAATGAACCCGCGAGTTGACACTCTCCTTTCTTTCCCACGGCTTCCGGAGTTTCCCCACGTTTCTTCCCCTTCGTAGTCAACCTGGCGGCAGCGCAAGTTTGACTCTTGCCGTTCAGAATGCTATTCTCAGAGGAGATTGGCAATTAGAGAGAATGAGAATCCAACTGACGGCCGGCCGGCCGCATCGCCTTCCGTTCTCCCCCCGTCTTCCGCCGTCGATCTCGACCATCGCGCCGCGTCGCATTCCCTTCTCCCTGTCTCGGACGTCGATCTTCACCCACGCCGGATAGTGAAGGTCTTCCCTTTCTGTTGGCGGCTAGCCAAGGTCTCTAATTGCTGGATTTAGGAGAAGAAGAGGCGCTGCAATTAGCAGCTGCCGTCTGTTGTAGTCAAATTGCCTAGCCGGAGAATGACGACGAATGCGCAGCCTCCAATTCCAGGTTATAAACAAAGATCTCTTAATTGGAACTGATCCTTTTACCGTCAATTAGCATTCATCCTTTTCATTGGAGTTCAATGCTTGTAAAATGGCGTCTGATGTCCAAACTACAAATTTGTAGGGACTAAATAACATTGCAGCAAGCATTGAGTATTGATCACAAACCTGTTTTTATCCTTAACGATTTCTGAATTCTGACCATTCTCATGTTTGTAACCTCTCATTTTCTGTACCATGTTTATGGGAAGTCATATCAAGGGAACCATGAGAAGAAAATTAGTGTTAATATGGTTGGTTTTGTTGTTCTTAGGGTACTATAGATGTTCAAGCCAAGGATTAGAAGGATAATTTTCTCTCCATATTCACAGGTGAATCTTTTCTCTGTACAAAGATTGGTGAAGTTCAAGAGTACTACGACAAGTGATGAGCTTGACAAAGGCAACGTCGATTCACTACTTCTACCCTTCGTAGAGCATGGGCCAATAATCTAGTACTAGACATGTCATAAGGGGGTGTGCCCCAAACTATGACCTACAGCTTCTTCAACCACGTCCACAGCTTGAACTCCATGTCATCTAGGAAACCAAAATACAACTCTCTCCAGGGTCTGGAGAATATTATAGATCCAACTATGCCCCAAAACCCAACCACAAAACCAGCATATATGCTTCCGGAGAACCAAACCAAGCCATCTTCACCAGAATCAGGTACGCTAAAAATGTAACTCGTGATGCAGCTTACATTCAACGGAGGACCACAAAGTCCTTTGTTTGCGATAAAGCTGGATGGATCGAAGCTGTGGAGCTGGGTGCTTGAAGGAATTCTCCCACTCAAGTTGTTGTGTGACAAGTTGAGGTGATTCAAGAATGTCAAACTTGCCAATCCTGGGGGGATTTTCCCTGAGATTCGGTTTCCAGATAAGTCCAAGGATTCCAGCGATCCCATGGCAGCTATATCCCCGGGGATCTCACCTGACAGTAAATTATGAGACATGTTCAGGTACTGCAAGGCCATTAGCTTCGTCATCTGCTTTGGAAACTTTCCTGATAGCTTATTCCAGGAAAGGTCCAAACTCCTGACGTAATTCAGTATGGTGCTGTAACCCTTAACCTGCCCTTGTGTCACCAGGAATTGATACTCCACGAATGATTTCGCCCCACCAAAGAAGAGGTATATTACTCCTTCTGCATCACTTTTGGAGCTGTTTGCCATGGCGCTGAAATTGGAAATACATTCTGGCAATTCGCCTGAAAGCGAGTTATGAGAAAGGTCCAAGATTTGCAGGAGCTGGAGACGGCATAGCTCTTCAGGAATATTTCCATGCAACTTATTCCCTCGAAAGTTGATGATCCGGAGACTCGAAAGGGTTTTCCCCATCCACTCTGGTAGCATACCTTCCAACCTGTTATCGGCCAAGTCGATAGATACTAGACTAGTGCAGTTGCTGACTGATGAAGGGATTTCATTGGCCAGGCTGTTATTCTGGAGACGTAGTGAAACAAGGGAGGTTAAACTTCCAATTGACCTCGGAATCTTACCTTTCAAGTTGTTGCTGCCCAGCCTCAAAACCCTCAAGTTCTGCCAACTCCTCCAGCAATCGGGTATCTCTCCAGAGAGAAAGTTGTCTTGAAGGTTAAGAAACTGTGTGTCCCTCGCCTGAGTTGGATTAAAGCACAAGAACTTGAGCAAGTTCCCGGTAAATAAGTTGCTGGAAAGGTCCAATGCAGTAAAATTGGAGGAGATAACCGGTAGAGGCCCCTCCAATCTATTCCAACTGAAGTCAAACAACGAGTCAAAGGAACTAACTGAGATAAATTTTGGAACCCGTCCAGGGATTTGGTTACGTGACATGTTCAGATAGTAGAACTGAGAATGCGTGCTCCAGAACCAATCAGGAATGGGTTCTGAAATTCCAGAGTCGGAGAGATCAAGAGACTTGAGATACTGAAACCCTTGGAGCCATTTGGGGAAGGCAGGTCCGAGGTACCAGGAATTCAAGTGCAGTATCTCGAGCATCTTGGGTGCAATCCAATCTGGTCTACTTTCCAACGTCATCCGATTCCCAGATGCAAAGAAACAAGCCAGCTTCGTGAGTTTGGCGAAGTGGATTTCAGGGGAGATAACACCTCCCATAGAGTTGAGAGAAATATCAACCCACGTCAACTCGGTAAGTTCCCCAAAACTTGTGGGAATTGTCCCATTGATCTGGTTTCTAGCGAGGGTTACGTATGTCAAGGATTTTAGTTCCCCGAATGACATCGGAATTGGTCCAGAAATGGAGTTAATCTGTAGGGAAAGGCGACTTAATCTCTTGAACTTCCTAATTTCATCGCTCAACTGACCAAACAGCTGGCACTCTGACAACGACATTCGCTTTAGACTGGTAGAAGGACACTCTCCAAGGATTTCGAGCAACTCTGATACACTTTGATTCAGCCTTGTGCCTGACAGGTATAGTACACTCAAATGGCAGAGGCTTTTGAATGATGCTGGAATCCCTCCTTCAAATCGAAGACCCCGATTGAACGACAAATCGAGAGTAACCAGAGATGTCAGGTTCCCGATGGAATTAGGAACTCTGCCTTCCAGCTTATTGGCAGAAATGTCGAGGTACTCGAGGTGGCGAAAACTGAACAACCAATCTGGCAAGGGACCATTGAACTTGTTTGAAGACAGTGTAAGATGTACGAGGGAGGTAAGGTTTTGAAGCTCCCCTGGAATCGCACCTTGAAGGTTGTTGCCTGCTAGATCCAACGAAGTCAGGCTTTTCAATTGAGATACCCAGCTTGGAAATGAAGTCGGACCAAATTGATTCCGAAACAGATCAAGAGTTGACAACGATGATAGGTTGACTCTTGCTATAGGTGGATTATGTGAAATTCGGCAGTTTGACAGGTACAATTCTGTAAGAGAAGGGAGAGTGTTTATCATGTTGAGCCAATCGGAAGCATTGCTGAGATTGACGTAACTCAAATCAAGGTATTCTAGCGAAGGAAGACCAGAAAGCCACCGCAAACTATCAGCATATGGCGCATCCCCACCACCTTCACCAGCAGCAGCCCGGAGGCCAAGTTGTTGCAAGTTCGAGAGATTCCCAAGTTGATGAGGGATGAATCCCCCAAATCCAGACTCGTCAAGGAAAAGAGAATTTAAGCTGCTCATGGAGCCAATAAATCCTGGAATCGGAGTCCCTTGGAAATTGTTTCCTGACATGTCAAGATAACTGAGGTGCTTCAACTTGAGTAAGGAGGGACTGATCTTACTCTTAAATGCAGAATCCTCAGAACATTGAGGACAATCCAGATGGAGCTCAGTGACATGACCAGTAACGTTGTCGCATACGACGCCAGGCCAATTGCAGCAGTCTCCATTGCTGCCTGCAGCCCGTGGAGAGAGCCGGCCTGAAGGGTCTTGGAGATCGGCCATCACTCTGGAAAGAGCTTCTCTTTCTGATTCCCTGCAGCTGCTTCCTGCTGCGAAAGTCGGATAATAGCACAAACTCATCCAGCTTAGTGAAACAAGAACCACTGCTGGAATAATCATGGAGTTGCAGCGGAAAAAAATGCAGCAGAGCAAGAATGTGAGTACTTTTACTTGAAAGTTGGCTTCTTTTCTCGCAAAGGAACTGCAAGTGCATAACCCTGTCAATGCACTGGAGACTTTCTATCGTGCTTTTCTGAATGCCGACTTTATTGTTTGCTTTGGTCTTGTTTTCTTCCATTTGGATTCAGGAATCTGCCGACTTCCATTGGGAAGCTGCTGATCATTTTCATAAACCTATTGGTTGACATGTTCAAAATCTCCCTTCAAGTTCTTCTGTACGAACAAAAAAACATAAGGGCCCCTTTTTGTCAAGTTCCCATTAACATCATTCATTGACTAACAAAATAGTATCAACAGATACCGGCCAGCCGAATGTTGATGTCGACATATAATTGCCTTTCGTGCTGATCAGTGGAACATATTTTTACTTCATCCACTATCATATCGGTGTGCAATCAAACCTGAAATTCGAGCCACTGTCAAAGTAAGCATATTTTTAATCTGGAGATCCGGGTTGATAAAACTACGGTCATCTCCATTGAAACCACTTCTTTCAAGTCCCCCCTACCAAAAAGAAATTCTTCACACCCCGTTGATAAAGATACCAATTTCAAGTAAACGCCATAGCCAAACGGACCCCTGTTAAAATCTTATGGAAGATAAAAGGTAACTAGAAAGTGAAGTTAACAAAGGGAAAGAGAAGGGTAATGTTTTTTGCAACCGAAAATTCAAATGGACATGTGTACCTAATGAAATGATTTTTTTTTTCCACTATAGTAATTTATTGAGTTAATAGCATAAATTGCTCCTCTATTATGGTTTTTTTCCCAAACATGTCATTCTACTATGTTTTACATCAAATTTGCCCTTCTATTATTACCACGATACCAAACCAGTCCTTCTATGAATAATTCCGTTTGGATTACGTTCAATCCAGTTCGACCGGTTCGAAGCAGAAAAAAGGGGAGGGAAAAGGTCGAATTTACCCCTTCCTTTGGCTTACACGTTCCTGTGTAACTTCCCCACTTCCCCAATTAAAAGAGACAGTCCCTTTTTTGGATTGTGCTACAAAGAATTACAAATTATGTACCTTTTTTTAGTTGAACAACCTTTACATTGCGCAAATGCTGGAAAAACAAAAAATCCATGGACCTGAAGTAACTAAATATAGTCATGGTATTTGTCTGAAAAGCAACCTGGTATTTTCATGGTATTGAGAACGTAGGTCTAGAGGCAAAATATAGCCTTTACATTGTGCAGCCTTTAACATTCATGGTCTAGAAGCAAAAACGTTGACAACATATCCATGATTCATGGTACATCGATCAAAATGACGGCAAAATGTGGAGCAAAGTCTAACTATGTCATGCATAATCCCTGCCTAATTTAAATTGGTCGTCGTACTTTCTTGTGTGCCACCAAAGCTGCTTGTCCTTTGTTGTCGATGTCCTTGTATTCCGACATCCTCTTTTCTATCAAACCAGGCTGCATTTCAAAATCAGCAAAATAAGAGATAAGTAGCTTCATAAGCATAATACACTCTTGATATTATTCATACATCATTACGTTTAGAACACCAAAGTCTTTGTCACTATTCCAATGCGTCTCACATCCCACAAATGACATTTTCTTCTTGGTTGATTGCTTCCTCCTACTGCTACTAGTGCCATCATTATCCTAACCAAAAACATATAACCTTTTTACATGAATATCATTTTAATCAAGAAATGGGTCTGTATTTCACAAACCAACATTGACGAATAACATTCTAAACACAACTAAAGGAATTGTACAAAACTTACTTGGTTCTTAGAAGCACCAACATCTACAACACTTCTTCTCTTCCCACCGCATCCGGGTAGAGTTCCATTTTCCTAATTCATACGTTTTACCATGTAATTAACTATTTCTGATAAATGTATTGACTTGTAGAAACCAGAAAGTTCTAGACTGCACATACCTGAGTTCGCTTCGGCTTCTACCATGTGCGAGAATTGTGACCAGATTCTTTACCATTTTTGCACCCAATTACCCTCCCATTTCTACCAAGATTGGTTTCATCATTTTTATCACGAGCCAACAGCTCCTTAGAAGTGTACACCTGCGTCTTTCTTGGTCTCCTCTTGTCCTCCTTTTCCTAAACGCTCCTTACTCTCTTCTTCTTTGGTCTACCAGGCATAATTCTAAAATCTGGTGGGAGGATGGTCTCATAGTCACTTCGTATCCATGTCCTCTGTCCATCCATAGGCTGCAACACATTTCCATATGTGCTTCTCCAGTTCTGTATTGTGAGCATTCAGTAATATACATTTTAGGCTGCTTTCCTTCATACTCCAAGCATGTAATGCCACGGGCACATGAAATCCAAGTTAGCGCCCACTCCCTACATGAACAACTCAATTTTGGTATTGAAACTATGAACCTCTCATTATGGTGACGGACTTCATACCCATTCTTCCCATTATGAGTGATATGACAAGCTTTGCTCTTCGCTGCATTTTTCTCAAACTTCTTCAGTATTTTTGGACAAAAATCTTTGTCCCACTTATCTGCTTCTTCTTTCTTGGTTGCAATTAATGACATCATCATAGTCCGAATATCTTCCAACATGCTATAAATTGCTTTGTATCTAGCTTCAAGTATTATGCATTGAGCGATTCCAACATGTTGTTGTCAACAGAATCACATTTCACCTCAGTTGAGAAGTATGCACGAGACCAATGCTTTGGATCAATTAAAACCAATGCTATGGCTTCTTCCTCATTTTGTTTTGAGAGCTTCTCATATGCTCGACTAAAAAAGGATGGTGTTGAGGCCTTAGCACATTCCCAAAAGGTTGACTACCACACTCTCTTTCTAAACTTCTTTCTCCAATTACTGTCTCCAAATATGCCTAGCACATAGTCGATGATCTAAATTGGAGAAAAAATCTGCTATTGCTGGCACAAGTCCCTGCAAGTTTGGTTGAGAAAAAACAAATACATAAATAATTGACAATAGTAAAGGGTAAAAGCCAAGTTTTCTCTTTTAAATGAAATGCAACAAAGATATACGCCATAGAAAGGCAGATGGCTAAAAACAAATCCATTTTCTATTATTGAACAATACTTGCAAAAAGCCCATAATGAACCCTTAATTATATTTTTCTTATATAATTCCAAGCATGATACGAGTAACTCCAACCAAGTCAACCATGGACACCTAACAAAGTAACTAAAAGGAAAATATACCTTCATTTGATCGGAACTGGAGCACCAACCAGCTCCATTATCAATGCCCAAATCGTCCCTCAACTCTTTGAGGAACCAATCCCATGAATTCCTTAACTCAACCTCAACAACTGCCCAAGCAACCGGAAACATTTGGTCATTTCTGTCCCTTGCGACTGCAACAAGCAATTCTCCCTTGCACAAACCCTTTAAAAAACAGCCATCGATCCAATGCAATCATCTTCCTACATCCATCTTAGAAACCCTTCCTCGTGGCACCAAAGCAAATGTATAATCGTTGAAATTTTGGTTTACTTTCGGGGTTGTCCCTGTTGACCATGATATGCACGGTCGAGCCAACATTTTTTTTGTAATTTCCTCAGCATAAGTCCACAAGATTGCATACTCGTCTCTGAAGCATCCTTCGGTTAAGTGCAAAACTATTCTCTTTGCTCGTGAGCACTTGTTTCTATCCACACTGAACCCAAGTTCTTCTCTAATAGTCTCCATCATGTCCTTCAGCTTCCAGCATGGTTCTGCTCTTATCCTCCTATGGTATTTCTTAGACACCTTCCTACACTTAAAATGCACCCCACATCTATGCATCTTTAGTGTTTTGATTTGGAAGGCATTGGCTTGTTTACTCCATGAAACAAGAAGGGCAAATGAGCAATTAGGGTAGTTGCAAACCATTCTAACCCTTCCCATATCACTCTTCTTTACCCTTAGATCTTTCTTGAATGCCAAACACTATTTGTCGATTACTTCCCTAACCTCATCCATGTCATCGAAGATCATGCCCACCTCGAAGTAAGGGGTGGCTAGATTCGGATTGTACTTAGGAAAATGACTTTTCCTACGCACCCCATGATCTGTTAATCCATCTTCATTATTGGTTTCATCTTCGCTGCCAATGTCATCGGAATCGAAAGCACCCTCCTCTTCTGCAATTTTTTGTTGTCTTCTCTCGACCTCATCATCAGAGTGATATGTGGTAGGTATCCCTCTCTTTAACTTTTCATGTGTCATCTTCAATTTTCTTGCAATTTCCTCGCGATCTTCAACATCTCCATCGTTAACCCACTCTTGGTGAGCCTCAAACTCACTACCAGAGTCATCATTTTCATCATTAATCCACACACCCTCCTCGAATGTTGTTTTTGTCATGGCATCGACATCTTCTATTCCATCAGCAACTGAACCCCTCTCCATCAGTAGCTCCTTCTCTTACATAGTTGACACCATCATTTACTTCATAGGATAGACCTCTAGTAGATACTGGATTTTCAACCTCCTAAAACAACAATGAAGAACTTTAGTTTATGAATATAAGCCTCTACTATATAAATATGTTTTCTCTTCCCATAGATATTAACCAAAGTTGCCAAATCCAAAAGGTACAGTAACCCAAAGCTAAATGAATTATTCATAAAGAAGCTAAATCAATTAGAAATCATCAAGTTACCTTCTCATAAATAGATACCGTGTGTTTAGAGTACACATGATATTCATTTTTATCTTTAAATTGTTCTAGAAACTCCAAAACATATGTGTCATCATATAGTAGTCTCCAAGCATATGTCCCTTCAACATTAGTCTGTCTGAAGTACAGTTGAAAATCATCAGTGTACTTTTCGTCATCTCTTAACATGTTGTTGAGGTCCCAAATACAAATTAAGTCAGGATCTATGGTCGAATTGGGCAATTCTTCTCCTCCTTCATATGCAAGATCATCTCCAATCTTCTTAAACTGTCCTCCAGCATGAATGCCATGTGTTGGATTGCTCATTG